GAATGAATGAATGAATGAATGAATGAATGAATGAATGAATGAATGAATGAATGAATGAATGAATAAATAAATAAATAAATAAATAAATAAATAAATAAGATATTGCCATGGGGAGGGGGGCAATGATAACTTCCTCAATGGCTCAAGGGGGCGTTTCTTTCAAAAAGGTTAAGAACCACTGGCTTTGACTATTCAGACTTTTGTTGGCAAGGTGATATCTCTGCTTTTTAAGATGCTGTCTAGGTTTGTCATCGCTTTCCTCCCAAGAAGCAGGTGTCTTTTAATTTCGTGGCTGCTGTCTCCATCTGCAGTGATTATGGAGCCCAAGAAAGTAAAATCTGTCACTGCCTCCATATCTTCCCCTTCAACTTCCCAGGAGGTGATGGGACCAGTGGCCATGATCTTAGTTTTTTTGATGTTGAGTTTCAGACCGTTTTTTGCACTCTCCTCTTTCACCCTCATTACAAGGTTCTTTAATTCCTCCTCACTTGCTGCTATCAGAGTGGTATCATCTGCATATCGGAGGTTGTTGATATTTCTTTGTTTTGTTGCCACCTTGCAAATCTGTGTCTGGTTTGTTGCCTCCGATCTTGGTCATTTTGGCCCTTCGAACTGGGTTGCACCAGGCCGGGGAGTCTCCAAACACATATTTATATTCGGATAAAAGATCCTTCTGCTCGCTCTGCTCTCTCTGGCCCTTCAAATGCTGGGGATTCTACTGAGACTCCAAGCAAGTAGGGCCCTCCCCCTTCCACCCCTGTGTAAAAGTTTGAATCCATTCCTTTGGGACTCAACCTAGACAGAGGATTGTCACTCACCCATTTTTTCCTTTCCTCCCTTTTTCCCTCTCCCTTTCTTTGGCTCCATCCCTCCCCCTCCCCGCCAGACATCACCATCAAGGTGGATGATCCAGAGTGCACGTCCAGCTCCAGCTACCGGGATGCGGAGAGTGAGAGGTTCCTGTCCTCGGGCAGCGCCACGGGCCGACGGGTCTCCTTCAACGAAGCTGCCCTCTTTGAGCAGAGTAAGAAGACCCAGGAGAAGGGGAGAAGGTAGGTGCCGGGGCAGCGCGGGGAGGGGTTGACCCCGTGGGCTGCCATCGAGGCTCCCCCATGAAATGCGGAAGTGGTGGAAAGCCAAGGGGACCATGAGGTTCGTAGTCCGACGCGCCATCTGGATCGTTCCATTCGGCCTCCCGGCTGGTTTTATTCTGATCCTCTGACATTTCGCACTCACTGTGGCTCAGGTACACTCTGACCGAAGGAGATTTCCACCACCTCAAAAACGCCCGCCTGAGCCACCTGCCTTTGCCGCCCTCGGCCGCCCTCAAGATCGTCACCATTCACGAGTGCGAATCCAATGAGAATAGCATTGCTATGACGCCCCGCCACCCGCCCACCAAGCCGAGCCTTGCCATATTCCAGGTGAGTCTTCCCCCCATCAATCTGGGCCCTCCCACCAAACTCTGGGTCTTAGCTCTCTGTTAAGAGTCTAGTCCTCAGTGATTCTAATTGATCCCCTATGCAGTTTTCTAAAATGGAAACCTTCAGGGCTTGAACCAGCATTTGATGTGATCTGCAAAGGCGTCACTGCAGAGCTTAGAAACCTGACTAGTTTGGACTATAATATCCAGCATCCACAGTCAATTCTGGGAACTGCAAAAAATAAAATAAATCAAAATAAAATAATAATTAAAAAAGAAGTAAGGTTTCCCTGCTGGACATTTAAGGTGTTGTCGTTCGGAAAATGGACTAAGACCTTTCATTTTGGGGAAAGAACTGTCATTGAGAAAAACACAACTCTGAAGTACTTTTGTTTTGAATTTGTGCTGGGCGAAAGCTGCCTTATTGGGAGCTTTTAAAAAAGCACCTTATATCCTTCTGTATGGATGAATAAAATTCATATCTTTGAAATAATGCTGATTTTGCTGGAGGGCTTAGGACGGGAAGAGGGAGGGAACTGTACTAGTTTTTGAGTGAAACAGAACTCTCTTGTCACTTTTTGAAATAGTTCTGTGAAGAGCTTTCTGTCTTTATTCTTGGTGTATTTGTCTGTCTGTCCTTCCTTCCAATCAATCAGTCAATCAATCAATCACGGTCTGGTGCCACGGGATGCCGGCACGTGTTGGCTTTTTGCATTCCACAGAATGCTTCATCACAGCTGCCCTCCTGGTCCTCTTGCTAGTCTCACAAAGTTAGGATGCCAAGCGGGGGCTGGGGTCGGCATTTTGCGTGACGGCCATCCCAGCGGGTTGGAGGAGTTCCTTTCTGGGGTGGGGTTTGGGTTGCCACTCCCAGGCCTGCGGGCCACGTATTAGGGGAGATGTGGCTAGAATAAGAGGGTGCCTTTTCCCACCATGGCAGTCCTCCCCCCTCCCTCCCCCCAGGAGACCCTTCCTCCTTTTCATGCTCCGTCTCTCTCCTTCTCTCCAGCCGACGGGGACCGCCTTGCCTCAGACGGCGCTCACCGGGCACGGCTCGGCCCTGCCGGGGGACACCTTCAACTCCACCGTCGAGGCCAGTCCCTCCCTCTCCTCCGACTCAGGCGAAGGGGCCTCGGTAGGTCAACCCAGCGTGGGGATCAGGGCCGTGCAAAGTGAGACGAGACATATTTTAATGTTTTGAGCTGGTGGTGGTTGGGAGGGTGCCTGCATGGCACTGCATGGCACAATGACCAAAGTATCAAGGTGGGGACACCCAAAGGTCATTTAATCTCTTTCCTTACAACTGGAACCCCTCCGGGTTTGAGCCCTGACTTCTCAAGCGACAGAAAATCAGCTCTGCTCCATTTTCCCACATGAAGCCATTCGGATATTTTCAAAATGGCTGTTCTATGGTTTTCTCATGTCCTTCCCCCCCCCCGTATCAAGTCCCCCCCCCGCTTTCTCAGAAGTCTTAGGGTCCCCTTTTGTGGCAGGTTTTGGTCTTGCGAAGGTGTGCCAGTTCTGCTTCTGACCGCTTCGCAAAAGACACATTTTAATATCCTGGGGGTGGTGCAGAGGAAGGAGCCACTAAGACCCATCTTTGCAGCCTGTTTGTTTGTTTGTTTGTTTGTTTGTTTATTTATTTATTTATTTATTTATTGGACTTATATACCGCCCCATGGCGCTACAAGCACTCTCCGGGCGGTTTACAATTTAATTATACAGGCTACACATTGCCCCCCCCCAGCAAGCTGGGTACTCATTTTACCAGCCTCGGAAGGATAGAAGGCTGAGTCAACCTTGAGCCGGCTACCTGGGATTTGAACCCCAGGTCGTGAGCACAGTTTTAGCTGCAGTACAGCGTTTTAACCACTGCGCCATGAGGCTCTTTACACTTAGCTGCCTCAGGAGTCACAGCCTCCGACACTATGCCATGCATGACTAAATTCTCTCTCTCTGTATCTTTCTTCCTTAGTCGGATGGCACAGTCAGGAGTCCAAAAGGTGCCAGACCCGGAAGTGCCAGTGCCGCTGAAACTACCCCGCCACCTGCTCAGGGCACCGTCCTCCACTTTTTCACCCGCTTGCGCCGTCATGCCAGCCTGGAAGGAGCAAGTCCCTACTTCAAGATCAAGAAATGGAAACTGGAGACCAGTCAACGTGCTTCCAGTCTGGATACACGAGGTGGGTGTCAAATCCACAAGCCAAATGCTTCATTCTTGTCTTTAACCCCAGTATTGAAGAGATGCTCCCATCACCTGTTTTCAGGTCTGTTTTTAATGGACAAAGTGTGGGATTGAATCTGTTATGTGAAGGGTGTGTGCTCAACTGCTGAACAACCGATCTTTTCTTGAATATAAAGATACTAATCTTCATGGGTTTTAATCAAGTATTATTTTAAATGGAAAGCAACTGTATATTGAGAAAACCAGAGAGAGATCTTATTTGAATGCTTATATTTTGCTTATTTTTTCCTTGTGTTAATTTTGCTTATTTTTTCCTTGTGTTAAGATGGTGACACATAACCAGAAAATACTGTGTTTTTCTATACCTAAAACAGTGTGTGAGATGGTTAGAGCAGTGAACTGAACTTTGGAGAACCAGCTTCAAAAGGGGCTGGACTAGATGACCCTTGTCCCTTACTCTGTAGTTCTCAGATTCTTAGCGAGCTGTTGAATTAACGGTGGTATTTGGAGGCCAGCCCCTTCAATTTCTTAGCCTAGCTTACTTCACAGGGTGGGTGTTGTGCTGATCAAAGTGGGGAGAAGAGAAAGGTGGCTATACCACCTTGGCCCCAGTGAGGGAAGAGTGGGATATAAAAGTAGCTAAAAATGAATGGATGAACAGAATGAATGAATGAATGAATGAATGGAATGAATGAATAAATGGATGGATGGATGGATGGAGGGAATGAATGAATGAATGAATGGAAGGAAGGAATGGAATGGATGGATAGAATGAATGGATGGATAGAATGAATGGATGGATGGATAGAATGAATGAATAAACGAATGGATGGATGGATGAATTAATAAATGGGATGGAACAGATGGATGTTCACAAATATCCGTAAATGAACGTACCCAACCACTGCCTCCGCTCTCCTCCTCAACGTGGCTTTCCAACTTGCAACCCCAGGGTCCCCGAAGCGCCATCAGTTCCAGCGCCAACGAGCCGCGAGCGAGAGCCTGGACCAAGAGGACCGGGACGCGCACCAGACTGACATCATCCAGTACATCGCCCGGACGGACGACGTTGTGTTCCGCCCGGTGGCCGGTGGGCCTTTCCTGCCGGCTCCGGCCAGCCCGCCTTTATCTCTCGGCAGGTATTTTTCTGTAGATAAGTGGGACGGGAGGGAGGGAAGGCTGGGGGGGGGTTGTCAGCCCCGGAGCAGACTCTTCTTCTCTGCTCCAGGGCCGCCCCCTGCTTCTGGAGCCGCTTGGGTCCCACGCGGTTGCCTCTTTTTTTTTCTTTTTTTTTGTACCCGGGTGCCCCCCCCCCCAGTATCCAGATCCTGACAAGCTGTAAAGAGAAAAAATGGCCATCAGCCAGGAGGGATGGGAGTTGTCATCTGAAAGGCCTGATGGCTTACGACGAACAAGCCGGGCTGGATTTCCGAGGGGGGAGGCCGTGGCTCATGGGGGGCATCATCCTCCAGCAGCCAAGGAGGAAGCAGGCCAGCACCCTGCCTGCCCTGATGGTTTTCTTTATTAAAAGGAGAAAAGGAACGGCTTATGAGACACAAATGACTTGCAGTTGATTCTTTCCTCTCTCTTTTTTTTTGCAACCACGAAGGGGTAACTTAAGTTTTCTTACTGTGGCAAGGGACCGAAGTTTAGTTACTTTTCAAGTTACAAGGTCCGAAATGGTCTGGGTTCTTTCTACCATGAGCTGGTGATTAAAGAGCCATTAAAAGTAACTATTTCTTTTTTTATAAATGAAAAAAATGAAACCCCCTTTTGGTGGAAAAAAATGGCAACCCCAATTTTGCAACAGTTATTTGTATGGAGCCCAGAATGGTAGTTAGAGTCATTGAAATGAACAAGAGCAGATCCTTTTTAAGGGCAATGTCATGATTTGAATCCATAACTTCCTCTACGTGAGGAGGGCTTCACTCATTTGGAGTGACTTCTTCCTTGCCTTTATGAATAATACCTGAATATGAAAGCGTGTCTTTGATAATAGCACGTCTGTCAATGGGAATCCCGTTTTCCTGCCTTTTACGAAGGGTGAAATAAAGTCATATAAAGCCCCGGAGATGCCCACCCTGCCACCTCTGGGCTTTTTTTTGCCCAGCCAGTGATTCTGGGCGGTGTGGTCGAATGGGCTGAAAAGGTTTGCTCCCTGTCATGGGAGCTCTGATGACCCGGCGGTGTGCTGGCGGAAGAAAAACATTTCGACCTGGCGCGGTCTCCTAAGGCTGACCAGGGTTTCTGCATTGCCTTCTGCAGGCTAGACGCCACCGAGCCTCCCGCCCC